ACTACTACTACTACTACTACTCTCTCTCTCTCTCTCTCTCTCTCTCTCTCTCTCTCTCTCTCTCTCTCTCTCTCTCTCTCTCTCTCTCTTATAATTAAAATTTTACAATAAATATCTTCTCATATCGAATGAACCAGATTATTTGTGGAACCAACTTGATCTACAACTATAATCCGGAATTCTACAATGGTTATGAGAAGAAGATTCGTCGCGATATTTCACAGTCCTAAGCCTCTTGTTGAGAAATGTCATGTATGAAATGAGTTTTCTTGTCTGTCACATTCTTGATTAACAAATCTAGATTTCTAATTTTATTTCTCACGATTGTATATTTCTTCTAGAAAATCTTCCAATAATAAGATATTAAATAAAATAATTGTATAATATCCAAGTCACAGTAATCTCAACAACAATTATTATTGTTTTACAATTGGAAGAAATTTATTGTGCTCTTTAGTTTGATTTTAAAAATTTTCATTAGTTTAAGAGTGTCACATAACCACAGGGTTCGCAACCACTTATTGCTCGCGAGATTTATAAACAGAGATTTGTTTTGGAAAATTCCCCATGGAGGTCCTTTCCTGTTTTTATGGCTCTAGCAAATCTCTATTGAACCCCTTAACAAAAAGCGATATTTGAACTATTTTTGAGAGTCTGATCGATACATGTAATTTCATATTACCGCAATACTTCGGCCTAACTGAACCGATCTTAGCACTACATGTTCCAGATACAGTTAACTCAAAGACGAATGGCATTGTTCTGATTCGAAGAGGCCTGTAAAAAAGATGCGCTGACCTGGTTCACTTGGCTTGGGATCTTTGTATACAGATGACCCTCCTAATTAAGCTAGGAATTTTTTCCGTCAGACACAATTACCTATGGTCATTCACAAATAGAGACTCATGATGATATGATATTTAAATAGTTCTCTAATAGACAAACGCTCTGCAATAACTTATATACAGTCCACATAAGAAGTATGTAGTATTATATGCAAAAAGTCAGTACAATATTATGTTTGCAGGCAGAAACATAGAGGGTTCATTCGTGGGGCCTCATCATGATCTGCGAGATAAACATGGAAATTTCGAGGGATACGAGCACTTATTAAATTTAAAGATGAATTAGAATGTTGTGAACTTTTGAATTATTCCAATCATCAACATTCAGTCGTATCGAAAAATCGAGACTAAGAAAACAATTTTAACTTTTGTGCTGTTATTACATTTTCAACTATAGAAGAATTTTAATCTTGAACAATTTTAACCATTAGAACGCCTTAATTTTAAATTAATAATAGGAAAATTCAATCTCTTTTAATATTTGATTTATTCAAACTATTTACTCAAATAATGCGGAGTAAAAGAACATTTCTAAATTTTACATTCGCAAGAACTTATTCTTGAACTTTTGAACTCTTTTGGAATCTTGAATTGATGATTTGAAACTTTGATTAATCATAAGAAATCTTTTTGAATTCGCTTATTCAATGACGTGTATAAAATTTTTATTTACATACATTTGCTTTTAATTGTTTAAAGTTGCACAATAGAACGTAATAAATCATTTTTATTATTATATAATATATAATTTATTATTATGTACAACCTTACGAATGAGTTAGAATTAATAACAATATCAAGAATATTTTAAATTGGTAATGTGTAAAGAAAAAAGTTACTCAAAATGATTACTTTTTACTTTTTACTTACTACAAGGTCATTGAAATCAGTAAAAAGAGAGCTCATATATATTAAAATTCATAAATGATATAATAATGTAAAATTATTGGTACAGATTTGTTACTGTACAATCAGTAAATTCAAATCAAATAATACTCATAAAATAATATATACATAAATATATTTAAATTTTACAATTAAAAAAATTTTAAATAATTTGAAATATCTGAAATAATGAAAATTGAAAACCTGAAATATTGATTACATTTATTTAATCATTGACAACTAGTTTAAATTCAAATTGATATAAATAAATAAAATTTTTCATTTAATTGAAATGAATTAAATATAAAATTATTATTTTCATTCCTTATTTCTTAGATATTGAAATCAAAATTTTTCATCCAAACTATTTTCCTATTATTATATATCAGCATTTTTCTCATAAACAATACTTTAGAAAAAGAATGAGATAAAAAAAATTTTATAGCTTTCTCTAATTGATACAATGGTAATATATCGCAACGAAAAGTAAAAGAAAATACTGTTCAAAATTATTTAAGGAATCTCCAGTCAATATATTTTCAGTTTATATAAGCAATGTATCACAATAATTGTATTCTGCCGAAAAATGTAAACAAATTATTTAATAGAACTAATTCGAAAACTAATATAAAAATTTAATATTTTCAGGATAATAAATGATCAGCAGATAGTTTTTTTGTAATTTTTTATTTCTGCGATGTGATTATCTTGAATATCCTGTAATGAAAAAAATTTTTCGATTCATAATGAATGAATTTCGATTCATGTTCACATGATCTTATATTTATAAATTTTTATCGATCCAGAGTTTATAGAAATCATGCTATAATGCTGTTTACACTTATTTTTTATAAATTCTAAAAAAGGAAAAACCTGAATGAATTTTATATCTTACCACTACTACAGCACTTCAAATTCTTGGAAACGAATCTTTTGCGTTATATTTGATTTAATTTTAAATCACATATTATACATTAGGCTTGATTTTATATCTACATCATTTAACATCCACAAAAATTATATACTTTAGTTCCTGAAATAATTATATAGAAATTTATAGTATAAGTAATTTTATTAGGTAAAATAATTATCCAAATTAATTCATTAAGTAATAAAAGTCAATGCATTCGTTTATTTGACGTCTCAATTATCGAATAATTATCTGAAATGTAATAAAGTCTTATATAAAAAAATGCTGAAGGAAATGACGGTGTCAATTAAATGATAATGAAAATCAAAGAGTGGTTAATTAATCAAATTCGTACTTTATATTTAGAGTAAGTAGTTTTTTTTCAATCATTTAAAAGATTATTTCGTGCTAAAAGTCAGGTAAAATTTTGATCCACATAATTCTATGTGATTCTATCTTTCAAATTATTTTGGCTTAATTATTATAAATAATTTATTTATTTATTTGCCTTAATTATTATTTAATTATTTATTTTGTTTTTTTTGGCTATGTTTTTCTTATTTAATTTCATGTGATATTCTTAGTTAGATTATATTTGTAAGTCATTCGCTAAATTCGATGATAGGACGTATGATTTATAGTACTCTCACAATTTTTAAGATCAATTTTTATATGTTTCTCATGAAAATTACTATGTATTTATATTCGGAACATTAATTTTTCATATTTATAATCCTTTAATTCAAAATTTGTAATTGTTATTGAATTTTCGAGAATACAAAATAATATTTGAAGTGAAAAAATTCAAAAAATTAAAATTCAATTATTTATTATATTTTATTGTGTACCATATGGAATTTCTAATTTATTAAAATAAATAGAATGATGGAAGAAAAGAAACCAAAGAAACAGTATGTGAAATGGGCAGCTGTCTTGTGGTACATTCATATACACGTTTTAGGAGTATACGCTCTCTGGTTGATGTTCACTTCTGCCAAATGGATGACTATATTCTATAGTAAGAAGATCCGTAAACTTTTCTTATCATTACATAAACATTTTCCACTTTTAAAAAAATTTCAAATTTATTATTAATTTTATTATTAGCTTAATTATTTACTATACTATTAATTAATTATTTTTGATACCAACATACTTTTTTATGTTTCACAGTTGTTACTAATATAATAGGATTTATAATAATTTTTGAAGTATTACTTTGAATATTTGTTATTTTTTCAAGAAATTAAATTTAAAGATTAAAAATTGATATATTAGAGTTTATCTTATTAGTTTTTAACTGATTCTCAATTAAATATCTGAATGTGAAATAACTTAATTATTAGATAAAATAAATAAATAAAATATTGAGCTTGTTATAAAGTAATATACGTGTTAAAAATTAAGGATATAAATACTACTAGAATCTAAATCTCATAATAATTAAAAATATATTATAAAACTATAGAATTAAATAAATAATTAATTACGAATATTACTATTAACAATTTCATTAAAATCTCAGTCGTAATGACCAATTACGTTATTACATATTTATGTTATTGCATTTAATTTTTTTTGTTGCAAATGGATTAATAAAAGATTTCATTATTCTATGAAACTCCGGTATACTTTTTCTTCTTTTTAATTTTTTTGGTTAACTTACAACAATTAAGAATTACAATATTATAAAAATATATTGTTAAATTAAATAGTACTTGAACGTAAATAGAGCTACTAATATTTTGATTAATATTGCAGTCGCGAAAATGATCAGGTATATTATAACGTATTTACACCATAACCTAATATCATTTCTTGCACTAATAAGAATACTGTTGAGCTAATAAGAATACCTTAATATTCTATCAATTGCTATTGTTATATTTTAAATTTATTCTACTTCTTCGTTTTAATTTTGCTAATCAATTGATTTTTCAGCAATTTTTATAACAGCTATTGGTTGTCTTGGAGTGACAGCAGGTGCTCATAGATTGTGGGCCCATAAAACGTACGAAGCCGTAGGGTTTATTAAATTATTCCTTATACTTGCTCATACACTTGCAGGAGTAGTAAGTATCTTAAGATTATTGTGTGAATGAAACATTTAGAAGAAATCATCAAATGAATGCGTTTCTTCCTTTATCTAAATATTTACGCAATACATAAAATCAATCTATATAAATATTTGTTATATAAAGTAAAATTTTAAATCAAAATTTTCAAAAGATACTATTTAATTTTGTTATTTTTTGTTATTCTTTTTTTTAATAAATAATTAATAATAATGAATATATTTATATTTATCACATATACGTATTTATTGTTTATAGGGTTCGATATATGACTGGGTATTTTATCACAGAATTCATCATAAATATTATGGGACTGATAAAGATCCATACAATCATAAAAA